GGTTGACAATCAGAAAGACCTAATTGAACACACCTTGTCCTTAGTCCCATTTAAAATTAGCAAAGAGAATTTCCAGATTTGAGAATATTATAAGTCCATTATTAGACGATAGAAATTTTCATGTTTACTATGCAAGAGGATTGAAAACGATGTATATTCATCTATATCCCTCTGTCAATACGACTACTTTACCAAAATGAAGTCAAAAAGCTTATAAATCAAGCTTATTTTGAATGAAGATGTAACCATAAAATGATAATCTGAAAATTGTGAAAATTTAGAATGCCGTTTATCGTAACGCAATAAAGCATCAGTGAGAATCATCCCTAGAAAGATGTGTAAATTCAAGTCAGCTAATCTACTAATCCATAAAAATGTTCTGTATTGCTTAATCATGAGAAAGTTTGACAAGCTAATTTTTAATACCGATGCTGTATGATTTTATGGATAGTAAGTTCAGCATCGTACAGATGCATGGCTGCATTTCCAGATAGCTCATCAGCATCCTTATCAGCATTGTAGGCAAGCAGAACCATCTTTAACAACGATCTATGACTCGTCAAGGTGACAAATAAAGCCAGTCTAATCAACCAAGAATCTGATAAAAGATTATGGCATTTCTACATTTACAAGATAAAAAAAACCAAAATTACAACAACATAATTCGCAGTGCGGAATATGTTCTGAAAATTATTCCTTTTAAATTGGTTAAGTTATAGACCCTATGATCTGAGGTGTCTTTTGGTGCAGCAAGGGAGAACTTGAACAAAGTTTTACAGCCGGTATCAAAGCAATTGATATTCAGTCAACGATCATTAAGTCCGGCCACTTAGAAGTCTATGTGGACAAGTCTGATGACGCAATCATACGCAAATATATCTTAACACCTGGATCTATACACACAAATAGCGAAGCTAAATAAAATCTCTAGAATGCATGATATACCATAGAAATTAAGATATACTACTTGAAAAAAGACCCATTGCAATGCAAATACTACCCTGAGCCTGCATTTGAGAAAAGTTAATGCAACAAAAGTCTCACCGACTTCTTCACTATTCCAGAGTCCTTTATCTGGCCACTTGATACACGACTAGACTTTTCCAGTTCCTCACAATCGCCTTTCTCCTGTTCACCCGTTTCCTTCATCATTGGACTTCTCGCCTCTTCCTCTTCGGTCTGTATAGCCTCCATTTCCAACTTTGCCCAACTTCTCTCTTTCGGTTGGCTGCGGGCACTGGACAACCTTGAATTAGGGCCGGATGACAATGTGACGCTAGACCGTGCGCTTAATGTGGATGGTGAGACAGAATCTGAGGTCGCTGGCGCCGAGATGGATGAGGAACAAGAGCTACCCTTGGCACCAGCCAGGGATCTTAGAGAAACCAGCGGTAGACTGGACCCAGTGGGTCCTGATGTTCCGTGAGCCAAGATGCCAGCATTAGATAACAGTGTAACCGCCCGCTCAACCAGCTCGATGTCTGCAAGTGTTGTTGTGAAGCCATGTGATGAAGAACTTTCCTCAAGTCTAAAGCAACTTTTTACCCCCATTTTAGCCGGCCGACCAAGACGAGAAGCCATACTGGAGGGTCGTTGAAAAGCGTCGAGACGCGAAATAAGAGAACGAACCAGTAGTTCAAGCAACTCACGCAGAAGGCGAAGCTTCGGGAATAAAAAAGAAAAAACACAAAATTAGAAAAAAAGGTACACTAATATGTTTAAAGCTAATCTCTGATAAGGTTCCCTTAGATACTAATAACAATAATTTTGGAAAATTGAAATGGGTAAAGTAAAATGTTGGATACATTTCGAGGCTACTTATAAACTCGCATGCTTAGTAAAATAAAGAATAACTCGAAAAAAGTAAGCAGGAAATTAGCAATTATATCAGAATAGGGAGATGATCTGC